CGGAGGTGGAGGGGGGAACAGGTGCCATGACCCATGGGTAGGGCTGTGAGGTCTGTCACCAATTCTCCTCAGGCTGAGCAAAGACACCAGATCAGGGGTCAGGGAACTTGGGCTTTATTGTGGAGTTGCCGTAACTCCAGCAATCAGCCCACTAGTGGGACTCCAAAGGTGTTGGCTGACATGAAATTTGTACAACAGACACCCACAAGTGGTGGTTAACAAGACCATAATTTTGTACAGTACAATTGTACACTACAGCTTCTTTAAGCTCTCAACTCCTCACAAGCAACTTCTCAAAGGTTTATTTTGGTGGAAACTGAGAATTTTTAGCCTGGTAAATTTCCATTCCCCGCAGGCTGCGATAAGCAGATATAAACACATGCAGAAATTTCTGCATGACTCCAACGTCCACCTTTTGTCTACAGTATCAGTTTGCTTTCTGAGTCTTGACAGGATTATAAAAACACAAGTAGAAAAGAGCATGAAATAGTTCTGCTTTGGCTCTTTACATCATCATTCTATTTGAACAGCTTTACATGAGCATCATGTCTCTTGCCAGGCTTTTCTACTGATAGTTATAGTGTTTCTTTAAAGCTGTGTTGCCTAAAGCAAATGGTTTTGAATTTTTATGTGGCTTTGAGTTCAACTATTTTCCCTCTCTCTGCATGTTAATTTCCACTTACATCACTAGGGATCTACCACGGATTACAGTATTTTTCACAGGAATTCACTTCATCTAATTTTAAGCTTTAGGTGCATCTTCTTTCTGGTCAGTTCATCAATACTTACAAATTTCTGCAGTTCGAAATACAGGAGCAAGGTCCTTAGCGGGGCTGACTAAACCTACTGATACATGGCTCCAACAGGGAATACAAGCAGCATAAAGAAGATCCCTGGGAAGCTTCTAGGAAGGGCAGAAATGTGTATGCAGTCCAAACCTCAGGGTTGTGTAGAGGGAGCGAGGCACTGTGTGTATCTCTCCCTTTGCATGTCAGAGCATGTTTCCACTGAGCAGTCGTGTTTCTCACCCTTAGGATCACGGTTAAATATTTCTCCTGAGCATCTGCAAAGAGATTTTGCAGGGGTCTTGTGTGGACCGAGAGAAATTTTCTCAGCATCTGCATCTCCCACATGAAGTATTTTACAGGGGAAATATTACTGCCTCAAAATTCCCCTCCAAATATTTTGCCTTCCAACATTTTCAATTGCAAGTCATCTCCATTTGCGTTTCACAGGTCCCCAGGCTGGGCTTATGGTCCAGCAGCTGTTCTTTATGGCACTACTGCTGCACGAGCAGCTTTCCTCCTTTGGCAGACGGGGAGGAGGGAACTGAAGAGGACGGGGACTCATGGAAGCATTGCCCTCCTACAATCCTTTACACAGAGAACAAGCAGAGAAACCAATGGTTGCAGTGGAAAAAAAATCTGCTCTTCCAGCAGCAAGGCAGATGCTGTTAGTTGTGAACACACAGCGTGCAGCAATAAGCAACAAGTAAATAGCCTGCTCCACCAAGCGTCTGCAATTTGATACGCCACTCTGGGAAAGACATGAAAAGGTTTTGCTGAAATCCATCTGCCTGGGACTGCAAACGGATCATCATTCCCCATCCCTGTTCAGATGGCAGGGGAACAAACTGCCTCGAGGTACAACAGGAAAATTACTTGAAACATTTGGCTGCAGCCCAGGGCAGCGTTCTGAGGAGAAAGAGGGATGGTAATGCTGACATGCTGGGAATACAACACTTTCCCCCAAAAAAAAGCAGCTGGAGTACCACTTCAGTTTGGCAACTTCAGTTTTTTCTTCAAAAGGCTTTTCCACTCCCATGATAGGGCACAAAATACTTTTCTCATGATATTCCATAACATCATTATTGCTTCCATTTTTATATACAAAAAGGTAGAACAGATGTTTTAAAAAAACAAAAAGTCAATTTTTTAAGTTAAGATTTTCTTAAAAATATTTAAAGTGCAAAAGCTCTATCAAAGTATTTTCTTCTAATTTTAGGGAACATCCCCAGCAGAAGACAGTTCTGTACAGACAGTGCAATATGTTCTCCATCCACACACCAGAGAGGCTTTACACCCACTGCCCAAAACAGCTTTCACTCCACAGGAGGCAAGAACTGTGCTTCTGGTAAGGTTTTAATGTGCTATGATAAATGTAATTTAGGTAAACATTTTTATTACCTATGGTAAGTAACTTTCTGTAAGCAAAACTATCATTCCTATTCCTTTAGTCATGTATCTTATTTCCACTACAGGCTTATTCACATTAGGTCAAACTAACACAACATTTCATTCCTGTGCACCAACCCTTAGTCCATATCCCACAATTACATTAAACTGTTGCTTGGTTTTGACTTCTAATAGAAGCTGTGGGGAAATACAACATAACATAGGGAAATCAAGTGTTAATTCTGTATTTTTACAGCTGAAATTAATTTTATTTTTGAGTAGCAGAAGGGGGAACAAAAAGTGGTGATGCATTAGCTCTGCCCATCTCGCTGGACAGATGAGAAAGGAGCTGTTCTAAGACAGGGCTGATTCAAAGGACAAACGTGCTCCCAGGCTGAGGGTGGGTCTGTCAGCTTTTGCAGAAGGAAAAGCAGAAGAAAAAGGAGAAATAGAGAGACCTTCTTTCCTTGAATTCTTAGACGGCCTAAGGGAAGCACCAGACATGAGCTTCTAACACTCAGCTCACAACCACAGATACAGAAGAAACTTCAGCAAACTTGCACCTCTACTTAATAAGATAAATCAATGTCATTATGTCATTTTTATCAGACATGAATATCAACTGGGGAAAAAAAAAAGGCACTACTTAATTTTAAGCAAAACCTTTATTTTAGTTCAAAGGCTTGTTTGTATTAAAAAGTTACTTCAAAATCAAATTCACATAAAATTCAGCATGTAAATAAACTGATGTTGTCATTGGTCAAGATCCATTTCTGAAAGACAAGAGCTCCAAATGACATTTTAACAACCTTGCATGGCAACAGATAAAACTGGGACAGCAGGAGCATCTCTGAGTTCACAGACTGAGGAGTTAAACCGCCCTCATCCCCTTCAGTACGTTTTAAAACACCACCTGCAAACCAGTGCCACTTAATGATTTCTTTACTTCCCATAAATTCACTCAGCAATGATTGAAAAAATCATCCCAGTTTAATCTGTTACTTTACAGGAGTAAATTCTCTTGAGTCTTGTTACAGGCACTGCTATTTTCTGCCAGCAATCAAAGTACTTGTCTTAAAACATTTTCCATACAACACCAACAATCAAGCTACGTTATATACAATTCAATTGTACAATTATCTTTAAAAAATGCCCTTGTACAAAATAGAGGGTTATTTTATTTTTAAAAGAAATCACATGCTAGATTTCAATTACATCAACATTTTAGAAGAATTGAAAAAAAAATTGATAAATAACATTCCAATTCATTAGGAACAATCCTGCAAGCAAGTGCAGAGGTACCTGCACTATATTTAATATTCTCATATGCTTTTTAGGGCAATTTGTGCTATAAACCTCATGTGCGAAGTATGTGAAAAGCTCTTACTTGTGACAACAGAACAGAAGCTACTTAATTAATGCAAGAGTATTTCAGTAAAGTTATTCTACTTATGAAGTAAATACCACAAGGGCATCTCATTTACAGCCAGTTAGACAAAGAACACAACTAGTGACCAGAACACATACATTAGTCAAAAAGTCAAATATATACAAAAATATATTAGAAAGTGGTTGAGTTTAACCACAGGCTCATGTAAAAAATGTTGTTTTAAATAGCAATAGCAAAAAAATAGCTATTTCTCTATCTGCAACAGTACAAAAGGCAACACCTACATATGAGGTAGCAATGCCAAATTAAAAAAAAAACCAACAACTTTGGATTGAGGAGCAATTCCTATATTTTCATAGCATATCTGTCAATACAAATATTTAAATGAACATTTCAATTGTTTGAAGAACTACTACATTAATTTACAAAAACCTTTTTTCAATGAGCATTTTTTTTTAAATTACTGGAAATTGGTTTAGTTACTGATTTCTCCTGTTTCTAAAAAAGCTGTTGCATTTTCAAACCCAAACACTGTACAGAAAAAAAACGTGGAGGCTTTATTATACACACTTGGTAAACGCTATGGTACATTAAGACATAATTTACAAAGATCAGAATAAGCTGACTGTGGTCATTTGATCCTTTTCTATCTAATGTGCATTCACTGCACACTTTTGCTGCTCCTTGTTCAATGCTACAGGCAGCATGAGGGCTCACTGCTCACTTCCACAGCTCTGCCCACAGCCAAAGCAAGTGTTTGTATCATCTACCTTCAGGAATCTGAGCCAGAAGATGGTTACCATCCAGGGCCACCGGATGGGGCACTGCCAGGCAGCAGCTTCAGAGCTCCCCTTGCTCTGTGCTGAAACTGCCTCAAGAATGGGATGGGAGGATGGGACAGCTGTGCCCTTTCGCTTCTCCCAGTTCTATCCCTTAGCCCTCCTGCAGCTGCAGGGCAGGAGTGACCATGTGAGCCTCCCTGACCAAAAAAAATCCCATTAACAAAAAGCCAGGAGGGGAACAACCACCTAGCTGAGCTGTGCCAGCTCCATGCCTGGGGCTGCAGGCTCCTCACATGGGTCAAATCCTCTGCTGCCAGCTCACTGACAAAAAAAGACCCTGCTGCTCCTCCAATTCAGGCAACTACATTGGACATCTGAAGTCAGATGGTACAAGTAACACCAAAAATTGAACTGGATGGAATTTCAGCATTTATTGTATTAAGAAAATAATATATTTTACATCACAGTGCTTAATTAAAAGCAATAAAAAAAAAATGTAAACTCAGAATTCTAGATAAAATTTAGCTTGAAAACTTGGGGCTCCAAGAGTTTTTTAAATTCACAATTTTTTAAGAATTGAAGTCACAGCCAGTCAGTTCACATAACTCACGTATTTAAGTTTACTTGTAAATACCTTTGATGCACTCCAATGTTTGGCCTTTTTTTTTTTTTCTTTTTTCAAAAAAAGCCTAAATGACAAATGACCAAGTGCAAAGGTAAGAGGTATATTTTTATCTGCCAAGAAACTAACTTTAGAAGTAACTTTCCAATCAATCAGGAATCTGGAGTGCTCTAGTAGATGTAAGGAAATATGCGGTATGGTACACGCTGGCAATACCTTTCCCATGCCAAGCCATATTTTTGCTTACAATGATGCTCATCACGTGCTTCTCGATGAACAAGCAAGCAGATGAAATATATCACGTAGAAATACGGTAAAATGTGGTCAAAACCTGTAAAGTAAAGTGAGAAATTCAATTTAGATACAGCAAAAAAAAAATCCAGAGATGTTAGCTGTTAGCAGCATGTATTAAGCCGGTGACACACACTTGTTAAAGACTGGAGCGACATGTTTATGTGCAGATAGGAAAAGACCAAAAATTCCACAAAAAGTCATCCTTAAAATTCAAAGTCACAAAAATCTGCCAACTTCACTCCCAGTGCATGTAAAGCTGGCACATATTTTAGGTTCTTGAATATCAAACCCACACTTTTTCTAGTTTGATCTCTTTTAGCTTTTTCTAGTTAAACCTCTGCAGCACTGAACTGCCTCACACAAGGTTTTCTCTCTTTTGGCTGTGGATGTGAGTCCAGCCTTGCTTGGAGCACAGGAATTGACTTGTAGGTGGAAAAAAACGTAAGTGACCCAGAAATGTGTGACTGCAGCCCAGGAAGCCAAATATTCTGAGCTGCAGCAAGAGAAGTATGGCCAGCAGGTCAAGGGAGCTGATTCTGCCCCACTGCTCTGCTCCCCTGAGACCCCACCTGCAGTGCTGTGCCAGCTCTGGAGTCCCCAGTAGAAGGAAGAGTCACTCATTAACCAAAACTGAGACAGAATTTCACTCCTTTGTGTTTCATGACTTTTTTTTTTTATTGTATTTTGCTTAAAGTCATCCTTGCATGTGGTAGCCCCTGGTGTACAAGCAAACTCTCACTTTTGAGGAACTTCATTTGAGAACACTATGGCACACCCACCAGCCTAAAAAACTTATGGAACAACTAATTAGGAAGGAAGTCCCATAGTTATTGAATGATAAAATGTCAGAAAGATGAGTAAAGTCTATAGTATGTCAAATATACAGCAAGATAGAAAAGGTAAGATGAAAGAGAAAATAGGTGTTGCATTAAATCTATGACAGAAAAATTGGCCATTCAGTGTGTTATAGGGTTTAGTATCCCAAATAATTATCACTTTACATATCAAATCCAGCCAGATGCCAAAACATAAAAGCATTTTTTATAAAATCCACTTCAGTTTCAGAAACTCACCACAGGGTAGGGACCATGCTAGAGCCATGATGATGTCACCGAGATAATTAGGGTGACGAACAAAACCCCACCAACCCGTGACAAGAAGTCCTTTTCCAGTTGCAGTGGGTATAAATTTCAGATCTGTGAATAGGGTATTGTAGTCAATACAACGATGGAAATATATATTTAAATACCACAAAGACACATTGTATAGCAACTGAATAAGAAATGTACTTACTGGCCAATTTGGGATCTGAGGGATTCCTTCGGAAATTATTTTTCTGAGAATTTGCACTACGGAATATGTAATACCCAATACCTGAAAATAAATGAGATTTATTTTGCATTTTCAGTACTTTCCAGTTTTCTTTGCTTCAGTAAAAGCACTAACTCTTATCACTTCACCCTTTTCCTCAGAGATGCAACTGATACTTTCTGGTTTACAGAATTCTAACAAGACAGAAGCAACATCAGAAACCTGCACTCCATATGCTCTTACACCTTACTGACTATCTTTAAGATTTTGGAGAAGCTTCATTTTCACATCTATTTTTTACATTTGTATCTGACATAGTTTATTCATGTAACACTGAGTGTGAAATTCACATAAAGGTGATATGCTGCACTTTGTAAAACAACAGCTCTATTAGCAGCCCTGTATTTTGCTTCAGTGCCTACTCCATAAACTGAACAACTATTTACAAGCTCACAGCAAAAAGAGAACCAGACAATGAACTATCTAACTTTGAAATTAATTTCCCCCATCATTTTCACACAGCAGCTTAAATTTGCTTTTACCAAGACTGTACTGAGGAAAGATGATCACAATATATTTCAAATACAGATGTTCTTTAAGAAGTAAATCCCAAGAAAAACATTAACTGAAGATGAAAAAGTGTTGTTGTATTTCTCAGTATTGCACATGTTAAGTTGTATGCCTTTTTATTTTTTTCCAAGTGTTTAAATTCTTTGTCATGTCTACAAAAAACAGGTGGGTTTTTCAGGTTTACTGTTCAGGTAAAAGGGACAAACTATAAGGCTGTGTTAGTGCAAACTTAAGGTCATCTAAAGAGGAGACATAAGATCCTTTCTCAAAGGACTCAGCTAGAAAAAAATGTTTTCCTTTGATATGCGTCTTTAACTTGGGCATCAGGGAAGGAGATGCAAACACTGAACCTAGGGAAAAAGTAAAGCACAGCCAACAAGGTACTGACTTCTTTTTTGAGTCGCTCACAGTCATCCAGATTAACAGATATGTTTTAAAGTCAAATTCAAAACATTTCAAGTCACTTAACTCCAGAGAGCATCCACTTAAAGATGCCTCTCAACAGAACAATTAGGTGTTCAGAGTCTCATCTACCCTTCATTTAATAAATATATTCTTTGCATTAAACAGCAGCCAGGCACATGCTTCCACCAGCTCTAATACAGAAAATAAGAGCACTGCATTTGAGCTAAAGCTCCACCTCACATCTCAAAGAAACAAAATCAGTACTAGGTTGTAACTAACAGTAACAGTAACACTTATTGTAACTTACAGTTCACAATAGTAATTGCGGCAGCAACAGGCCAAGAAATCACCATAGGATGTCCCACTAAATAGAAGGCCTGCAGACTGTAGACAAATGGAACCCACACCAAATCTCCAAATGCCAGCATGAATCCAAACCCATCATGGGTAATATCCATTGTAGTCAAAACGGCTTCCTAGAAACAAGGAGGAAGGAATTTAGAATTTAAAAAGCCTCCTTCCTTTGACACTGCACTCAGAAATGCTAACACAGTTTAACAAGATTGTCATTTACCTCGTTCCAAAGAGCATCCACCACATACAGAAGCTGAAAGCTGTTCACAAGTATCATTGACAGGGATGGCATACTTAGATTGTGTATCTTCATCTCAGCCAAGAGCATTGCCAAGTTTATAACAACCTAGTTTAGAAAATATTTTATTTAAAAATTTCCTTGTTCAAGTGGTCTTTTCAGTTACACTGTAGAACACTTTAACACGGATATTTTTAACAATAGATTTAAAAAAAATAAAAAGCCACCATTTCCAACTAACCACACTTCCAAAGCCATATAACCTCAACATAGGAATACTTAAAGAAAGGTTTTCATTTCCCACAAAGCAAAGAAGCTAGAAATTTCCCTAAAGTGAATAAAACTGGTCATTAAAAATCTGGTAATGTGGAAATGTTTTTCAGTACTTCCCCCCCCATTTATAAATATACATAAAATCCTTCATATCAACTATATATATAAAAACCCACGATCTCGGTGTAATATTTAAGCAAATAAAATAACTAGGATTACTGACTCACCCAGCCAATTAATCCTGGACGCAACTCACAGAAGTATTTAAGGTCAAAATTGCCAATACGAGGGTTTAATTCATGTCCAGTAAAAAAATCATAAATAAAATACCCTGCAGATAAGACACAGCCTCCGTTAGCAATACTATTAACTTTTATCTGCCACTACACTCAGTCCCATAAATAAGATCCTACTTTCCACTAACGCTCTCTCATTACCAATTTTTAAAAGTTTTTATACTGGGGAAAAAAAAATTGAAGAGTATATGCAAAATACAAAGCAAAATCCATCCACTTTGTATTTTAAGACGCCCAAATATTTTATTTATTAAGAGGATTAAACACTTTAGAAGTTACTATTGGCTTATTTCTCCTTGACACCTGTTCCTTATTTTCAGCCTCATCCTGAAGCTCACATCACAGTCTCCAAGAACATCATCTTATGCCATTAATTAATTCTATTTTCCCTCCTATTTCATTGGTTTTTTTCTGGGAGAAAGAATTCCTTTAGCAATGATTATCTGTCCATTAAAAGAGACGAAGAAGTAAAATGCCTGGACTTCAAGATAGCCTGGACTGAGTTTGCAAAAAACAAGCACTTTGCAGAAAACTTACAGAATGCTACTATGGTACTTGCAGAGACTAGAACTGCACTTTTGAAGAAAATAAAACTATGATTATTTCCCTTCACACACATAACATGCACTGACCACAAAACTAAGGGTATTTGAATACTTCATTGTAATACACTGAGTGTTCTGCCCATAAACATCCTTTCTCAGTCACCCTTAGTCATTGATAAAGGCAGTTCGATATTCAGTGCTAACAGACTTTTCAATCTATCCTTTGTCCTACAAAAACATATGCATATAATTGATACTTTCTAGGCAGGTAGTCTCATGGCTGAATCAAAATCTCTTTTGAAAACTTCACTCAGCTAAACAGAATTTCAAAGCAAATGGCAAAATAAAAGTTTAGAAACACACTGCAGTTTCAGGTTCTGTACCTGACTTCCCAATTTACATTTTTCAGGGTTTTTTTTGCATTCTCAGCTGTTTCAAGAAAAGGCAGGGGCACTATGAAGCAAACTACACAGGCTTCTCAAACAAAAAAATCCTGAAAACTGAAAAGAAGGAACTGTCCTCTCATCACAGGGGACTAGATATTATTCCATAGAAAATCCAACTAAAATTTTAAGCATTTTACAGTATCCAAGTGAGAACAAAAATTTGCCAGTTAATTTTTAATATTATCTTTACGTTTGTAGAAGCTGAAAGTCAAAGTATTATATTAACAAGCTCTAAATCCTAGCCTTTAATTCATAAAAATGAAACTGTAGCAGACAGTTGGAAAGAAGTTATCCGAAATATTTTATAACTCACCAGAATTTCCACTTGGTGCTAGTTCTTCCTCAGGTGCTTTCAGGGACCGAACATACAGATAAATGCTCAATGCCAAAGAAAAAGCTGCAGCTGACACTGCAAACTGCATGAAGTGATCATACAAATAATGAAGTTCAAACTGAAAGTATAATAAAATTCCAATAGCTGCAGCAGTGAAAATAAAAGCATAAAACCCTAAAGGATGTAAAAGAAAGACATATTAGCCAAAATAAAAAAAAAAACCTTTCTAGTAGAACCTCCCCAAGCTATCTGCATTTTCCTTTTTTTCCAAGATTTGCCCATATTCCAATAACGCCTTACACATCCCAAGCTCTCAGTCCAAACTTCTGAGGACAAGAGGCAGGAACACTCTGAGCACTCTTACATTTTTCATAACTCAGGATCTAATTTCGGGTTGTAGTGGAAAAATGGACACCGACACTACTAACTGATAATAGCAAGTCACGTGACAGCTCAGATAACCACGTTTTCATCTTCAAGTTTTCATATATAACTTGATACAGATAGCAGTTGCTAAACTATTAAGTAACTATCAAGTCAAAACTTGAACACAAAACTTTGTACCCTTTGAGAGTATCAAACCATGTGGAATGGATTAATACCCTAATATGAGCAGGCAATTCCATACTGCTCTCATCAAGGGACCTTCTATAAACTTGTTCACAGGGTCACAGTGGTTGAGGTTAGAAGGGACCTCCACAGATTATCTAGTCTGGTACCTCCTGATGTTCAGATGGAACCTCTGGTGTTTCAGTTTGTACCCACTGCCTGGCACTGGCCATGTACCATCAAAGGTATGAGATAACCTCAGTATGACTCACTTCTGCAGGATATAATTCCCCCTGTTTCTGTGATTTACAGCCCTATTCTGACTTTAAAATGGTGCATCTTACCAGACTATGTTAAACCTTAACTATTTAATTTAATGTTTGGATACCACTACTACCAGACAATGCCCTTGAACTGACTATAAATCAAATAGGAAGTCTGGAATACCTGCAAAAGCATCAAAGTTCACGTTCCTATTAAGGCCAGAAAAAGCAGGACTGCTGAAGTATGTTAAACCATACTCTTGAACTAGATGAGAAACTTGTCTTATTCATAGGAATCGAAATCAGTTCTAATTAAGGGCTCTGAACTGTACTGTGACAGGCAGGAATAAGAACATCTTAAATCACAACATACTTCTCTAATTAGTCTGTAAATCACAGACATCCACGATGATCTAGACACAGGGGATGGGATGTCTTCAGATCACTCCTCCTGAACAACAGTCTTTGTCACATGAGCATCATTAACACTTCCTGACAGACAACTCCCCATTTAGCAAGGAATATGATAGGAGTCACAACTGAATGCAGACCAGGTGCCCTGCATAGTGTAATGTCCTGCTCTTGGGGCAGTTAGTTCCTGATGATTACTGACCATCTCCTTCCACGAAAAGGTTCACCCTACTTCATAAAATATCGACAACACATACAGTTTAACCACAGAATGTATCTTTCATAATTTGTATTTTATGGTGCTGAGCACTGCAAATCACATATTGGAATCAATCTCAGAATAAGCAACTGCAACATGCTTACCATTTATCCGGTACTGTAGTTTCTTTCCATTTGAAAGAGGCAGGCCTTCTACAACCTAGGAAGAATAAAATACTAGTGTTCAACAAAGTACTTTTCGGGAGCACTGGTGGGGGGAGGAAACCAAGTACTCCGCCAGAAAGACATTCACATCAAGGTAACCAGTTGGACACAATCAAATCTGAGGATTGTGCTAAAAAAATGTACCTTAGATATCAAAAGGTTAACCGTTTCAATTAAAAAATTTTTTAAAAATAAATCTCTTCCTAACCAGCCTCAAGAAAGCAGAGCTGCTCCAATTATTGTAAACTACTTCAGTGTTCCTTCAGAATCTGTCAGTAGCCCTAATGTCACAAAAGAAGGCAAAAGAGCCCAATATACATATGGCTAGAATGGTTTACAGCTTTGTGTAAGTGAAGATTATATTGTAAAATGTTGGATATCCGTAAGAAACTGAGTATCAAACAGTTTGTGAATTTAAAAGTCAGATACCTGAAATTCTAGAATTCTATCAAGTTTTATCCATGCTTTGATCTGAATGCCTATATAATGCTTTCTGCCTCTTCTGCTGAAAGACTCTGAAATGCACGAATTCTTAAAAAAACTGTGCTGTTTTAAGCTTACAGAAATCTGCAGTAGCCATATCCTGCCTTATTATGGAAAATTAATTATTTGCTTTCAAATTTGCTGCATTAAGAACACACCCCACTCTCCAGCCCAACGCACAGATCAGTTGCCCATAAAGCCCCAGTTGCTACCAAACAGCCTACCTTTCCAATCGGCAGCAAGTAAAACAGAGCTTGAAGGAAAAACCACAGGACAAAAATACCAAACACCCTCGTCTCCCAAAGACTTTCAAGTGCTGGGAGAGGAGGGAAGTTCACAAGACTGGGGTCATCTTGTTTACACATCAACAGCAAGTAGAATACAGTAGCAGGCAGGAGAAATATCAGCATGAAGGTCCCTGTAAACAGACATCATGGAATATTAGAAGATAAACATAAAAAAACCCCAAACAGTTTCAATCCCACTAAAAAAAAAATCTCAATATTTACTTCACTAAGAAAGAAAAGGTTGTCTGTCTATTCCTGAAGCAAGACAGCAGCAATCTCTTGTCTCATAATGGGACAGACATTTTTCTCACTTCCATACAAGGTCATCTACTGAAGGATCACATTCACTGCATACCCTTAAAACTGGTCGAAAAACTGTATGATGAATACTTTACTGTCAAGTTCAAAGCACCTAAGTTTCGAAAATCTAAAACCTTTGCTAGTTACTTCTTAAATTTAATTCAGAAATACTTAGATCTCACTGTGCAAGAGATCGTACAAGATCTTCACTGTATTCCACATGAGAACCAAGGTAATAATGGTTCTTTGACTGCCATCATACCAAGTGAGGCACTATCATACCACTCTGAACTCTGCAAACCAGGGTCCAAAACCCTGGGAAAACTGTTCTCGACATGACAGTACAGTCAGTAAGCAAAAAACCCCACAGAACAGTACTAATTTTCAACTATTAAAAGACAGTTTGCACACATACCAATTCTTCCCCCAAACTCCAGCTCCTTTGTTTTCGATGGCACTTTCTCAATTGTTTTTACTGTCGTAAAAATCTTTTTCTCTGAATATATCTCATCTTTCTTCTTTTCATCTTTCCTTGAACGCAGGCTGTACTGTTCAAAATGCTTTATTTCCAGGTCTGGTTTTAACTTTTGCTGTTAATGAACAAAAATAAGTTACTACAATGATTCCCAGTGATTTCAGCTTATTTTACTCCAGTATTTTATATTTCAGAAGACATTACTCACTATAAAACACTAATGTACAATGTCTTCTATACAGTACTTAAGTTTATGCATTCACATGAAGGGACTGCTAAAAACAGTCATTGTGATCACCTATGCTGTGATTTACATCTCAGCAGCAGTTCCAGTACAGGTCATGCATTCCCGCCCTCCTCCTTTCCCTTCTGCAATAACCCTGTGCATTAACTGACAGTCAGGACTAAAGAGTTGATTTGGCTGAATTTAAAACACTTTCTACAGTCAAATATTCACACTGTAAAAGCATCAGAATGAATATAAGAGATGGTTCGACGGAAAAAAGAAAACAAACCAAGAAAAATGAATGTTATGCAGCTCTAGTATTTTTTCCTTCCCAATTTCATCTCCCTCTTGCCTGAAATTGGTTTGCTGGACAGCAAATTTACTTGACCTCAAAGTTTTATGTTGCATTCTATTTTTGCTTGATTACTGTAGTGCCTTTGTCTATGAATTTCTGAGATAGCTAAGTCAGAATGCAAGATAAAACTAAGAGTAAATACAGTGTTCATACCTCCAAGATTATGCAGGATGTGTCATTTTTCTCCGTGTTTTCAGGTTCACCGTTGTACCTTTTGGTGTTATTCTCACTCGGCTTCTGGTTAAAAGGAGAAATATAATTTTAGCTTTCTGAAAATAAAAGCTGCATTAAGTGTGAGTATATTATGAATAATTAAGAACACTGTCTAGTTTTGTTTTTTTTTGGCAACTGCAACTGCTCTGGTTTTCTCCACTGGAAAACAAGTGGGTTCAATATCCAAAGTACACAGTTTCAGTTCACAAACAAGTAAAGGAAAAGGTTGGGGTTTTTTTTAATAAACTATGAAATCAAGAGAGAATACAGCTTCTGAGTTACTTTAACTTATCATTAGGAACTGCCAAGCACAAAATACATGTCTATTTCATAATGCTAGTGGCAAGCAGAGGAAATTTCAGTGTCCTGTACATTGCACTGCTCTGCAGGACTGCGAATTGATTTTCCATTAAATATCTTTGAAGAAATAAATTGTCTTACAAAAATTCTTTTAATGAGCCTAGCTTACAAAACTCTGGGAAGACACAACTCATGTGTTCTGTTTCATTTCACCCTAAGCTCAGTTGAACAGGACCAGGTTAACCCAGTTGTACAACAACCAATAGATCAAACCTACTCCTCAATTAGAAGCCATGAGAAAAAGACAAAAGATATTTTAACCTTTTTGTCCCAAAAGGTTTAAGAAGCACAAAAAACAAAGTGTAGCTGCTGGGTACAAACTACTTAAAATGAGCAGATGGTCCACAGGCCATGCACTGGGTCACACAGCTCAAAGCAGTTCACCAAAAAAACAAAAACCACAGCAACTTCAGTGCCAAAGAGTGCTTTCAATAGTAGCAATTTACTGAACTTATCTATTTAGTTTAGATTGATCTAGTTTAGTTTAGCTGAAACCCAACTAAAACCTGTCTATTTTTAACAGGTCAGTAGAAGAGACCTCCAGTTCAAGGGACTGTGTCTCGGACAAGTGAGAAGCTATCTCAAGGGCTCAAGAGGCAGAAGAAATGCTGTTTGTTTCTTAATAAAGAAACATCACCTCTACTGTTCTTCACTTACAGATCACCAGAATAATTTTTAACACTCATTCTAATCTTTGCAAAAATGCCAAGAACAAACCCAATAAATTTCAGTTAAATACCAGATATTTGATAAACTTTGAAATCCTTACAGGTCATTTTCATAACGAAAACGGTTCTGCAACAGTATCAATCAGCAAGGCCATATTTAAATATTCCACATTTGAATTCTGCAACAGTTCTCACAGACTCTTCATTACTATTGTAATCAACTGTATATGATAATAGAACTCATTTTATTTAAACTTCTAATACCTACCTGCTATGTATTGATCAAAACATCTTAAAAACAGGTTGGCTAACTTCCTTTGGCCCATTTCACAAGTGGAAGCACATGGTTAACAATGATTTAATATTAAAAGATAAAAAGAATTTGTGTGTGTTTGGATTCTAAGAACTTCACAGCATCAGCAAATTCAAATGGAACTTGATAACGTAAGTTTACATTTCACTAACTTCCTCAAACTCTGAAAGCCAGAAACCCTATTTTCAAAGAAAAAAAAAAAGGCAGTTCTCAGATACACTTTTGCAGCTAATTATGTTGTTCAAGGAACATGACCTACAGGTGGCTTGATAACCCAGTAAGAATGAAACCAATCTTTCACAAACAGCAAAAATGTCGGTTTAGAAAAAAATCTGGCAAACCCACACACAAAGAACAAACAAAATTAATACCGCTGGTAGAGCTATGCTGGTTTCCTGAATGGTTTTCTTTTTGTCGTCTTTGTGTTCTCTGCTTTGGGAAGAAGAACGACGTCTCCCTCTCCCTGGCCGACCAGGGGACCTGGATCGAGATCTGCTGGTGCTTCTTCTGGAGGGAGAACTTGAAGATGACTGGCTCTTCCTGTGCTTGAACGACGACTGAGACTGAAGGAAAGCAGAGGAGAAGGCAAAATCTTATCTATATTCCAAAGAATAATTTTAGAAACAAGGTGGGTTTTTTGTAACAAGGACCCTGGCATACAGTTCTGTAGATTTATCTCTAATTTTCTTTACTGATGCTGTACAAAGGCTGTTAAAGAGCAACTGCAACATACTCATTTTGCTGGTAACTCCCAAACAATCCTGTCCCAGGTCCAACTGCTGCTGACAATTCCTATCAGAGCAACAGAAATCAGGATATGGATGTAAGCTACCAATGTGAGCACCAAGCTCTTAGGCCTCTCAATCCTTTTCATAAGGAAATGAATTGATAGTTGTCTCTTAAGCCCTAAGAGACTGCTCTCTCCTTTCCATATTTCCATTACTCAGCTTTATTAATGCATTTGACATAGCAAGATGTCATCATCTAAGGCAACACAGATCAAATCAACCTTAAAAAAATCCAAGTCAGCTAAATCATTTACTTAGATGCAATAATTAACTTTATACACAGTTTTCCACAGAAGTATTGTTTGATTTTTCTGTTTCCCATGTAACATTTCTACAATGCAACTTTTATAATGCGCAAATGTTTCATGGCAACGAAAGGCTTTTCCTCAGCTTGAGTTTGCTAACCTGCAAGCAGGAAGCAACAACAAATTAGGAAGTCCTGAAGCAGTGAACACAGTTGATCACCTCAAGGTAGAAACATTTCGGTTCCAAAATAAAAGGCCAGTAACTGGGCATGCACAATGCCACCAAGAAGTGAAACTACAGTTCACATAAAGACACACAAGTCGGCTTTGAACTTATGCAGGTTTCAGAACAGGCCACAAAAATCAACTGCAGTGAACATACAAACAGGGTTTTTTTCCTCATCCATGATTACATTTTAAACTGAAGTGAAAACTGAAATTTGCTGTTTTAAAGGCCTTTATTAGTCATAAAAATAAAATAATAAAGATATGTAAAAAGAAAGGAATGTGCTCACATGCATATGACATGAACCTTTCTCAAGAGTCTTTAAATGTCACAAATACAGTAAAATACCTTGTGGAGCCTTTGAGGACCTCAAGCAGTGCAAGCTATTAGCAGATGTTTAAAGTAAGTGCTTAAAGGGCACACACTATTTATATTTACAATGATCCTTAACTACAGGTTTTCATCTGTTTCTAAATTTTCTTATTTAGAGGTGGAAAAACGTCAAATTAGCATCAGCCCTCTGATTACTGCCTTTATAAGGTACCCCAAATGGATTTTTCATGAAGAATCATTGCTAGAGAGTTCCCAAAAGATCAGATTTGGTTTTCCCCAAACACAGCACTTTTTTTTTTTCAACATAAAGCAAACAATCACACTTCTTTAAAGATGGGGTTTCCGAAGTTAACTACCTGAGATGTCACACAGGAAACAGCTAATATTTAGCACCAAATCCTTGAAGACACAGTTAACAAAAACCTGTAAAATGACTATCCAATCCAAAGTTGCACTTTTAGCTACATCACAAAGTCAGTGTAATCTTCCACTAGAAACACTGATACTTACATACACGAGTACTCACCCTTATATCACTTTCTTTCAATGCAAGTTCAGTTCCATCTTTGTACTTGACAGTATAAAGATGAGCAACATCATCATAACTGGTCACTTGTACTTCATAGTACAGGACACTTCCTGGCCAACGGCCCATCACCACCTCGCCATCAGCATACTTCCGGCTTGGCATTTTCCAAAGAGAATCCCTAGAAAATAAATAAGTCAGTGCATACGACAGCTAAACATTTGGCTTAATTTCCCCCTACTCTCTTTCTGTATCATTCAGGCTGGAAAAAAACAACTCTCTACTTTAAACAGAGAAAAAGTTGTGTGATAAGAAAACAGCAATGATCTATTTTCCAAATAGAATGAAGACTGAAGATACATGTTCTGGAAAAGTGTTCAAATGTATTAGACCAGTACTCAACTATGATATACACCCTCCACCACCAGGCAGAGCAAATATTTAACCAAAATTACATAATGTAGCTCATCTTATCTAGAGGACAAAATGCAAATTAGATGGTACTTATGAGTCCTCTAACCCGCTTTCCCTGTGGTTCTACAGACATTACAGACATGATGATTTCTAAACATTAAACATTTCCAATCTTTTCAAAACTTACAGCCACATTACCTATTTTTTTCAACTTATTATGCCAAACATTTGAAAGTTAGGAAACTTCAGAATTTAGGTTCCTGTCTGGGTAGAGTTATTTTCTCTTTTCCATCTATTTAGCACAAGGCTTGTAAAGCCTTTTGCAGGGGCCCATAGGAAAACAAAGTACAGTATCAGAGCCATCACACAGTAATCTGAAAAACTAAATTCTATCCCCCTTTCAGCATCTTAAGGTTTTTACTTGATGTTAGCAAAACATGGTGCAAGTGACTACTACCATTGGTTCACCACACCAAGTGTTGGAAAAACCCCACAACTACAACTTAGAGAAAGTTGGTTTTAAATGTTAAGTCCTGTATGACTGTTTGTAAAATGCCTTATATTGTGTCATTGCCTTCTGAAAATAAATATCCAAAGCAGAACATACGTTTAACCTGAACTTCATAGTCTCAGATCTCACATATCAAGTAAGGCTACCTTAAAAGTCTAAGATAAAACATATACCAATGTATATATTACCATCATCTGTACAGTGAACACAGAAACTTAGAATGGATGGGGGCAGAGGGACAGGACACAAACAAACCAACAAACGTTTTTGTGTCAAAGCATTTTAACTTGTTTGCTATAAATAAGATGTGATGCCACATAAACTGAGGTGAAAGCAAATATTTAACTAGATACTCATTCATTACACATTAACTAACCTGCAGGGAAAAGTCAGATTCTTGGGGGATGGGGCTCAGTGAGGTTTTTTAATCAACATCTGTTCTGGCATTTTCTGAAGCTGCTGCTGTTAAGATTTTACACCTGTGTAGCTCTCCAAGTCAAAGAAACAAAAAACTCAGCGAAACTCCCTCATATGGATTTTACTGCTAATATTCCTAACTGCTTCAGAACAGAAACATCTGGCCATCTCCTCTGCTGTAAAACATTTGAAGGAGAAAAAAAGAGTTTTAAAATTTGATTTCACTAACACTTGCCAGTTGGAAAAATTATCAGAGTTCTAGTCTATGCTTGTAGGCACATGCTCTTCCAGCTCCTCTGTCTTCTAACAAGTGTTTCTCGTCCCAGTTTCCTGTTAATAATGTCTTATTCTTTCTGAATTCCCACTCCTTTGTTTTATCCCAGTCAGCTTAACCCACTCAAATTCATAGCCTTGTTTCTGATGACTCCATGAAATACAACTTCCATATCTTCATTTCAAATTCGTCATTCTCTCCTTATCCCTCCCGCTCTTTGATTCTTTCAGGATTTCCTGTCTTTTCTGCCCTTGTTCACCCAAACATTTCCAGTTCCTCTTTGCCACCTCTGGGCTCGAGCCTGATCTCAATCCTCATCTCTGCCTCCTTGGCCAATTTTCTCACCCAAAAGACACTTCTTCAGCAGATCCATGTCTACTACTGCTCTTTCCCCAGCCTCCCACAGTTACAGCTTCTTCCTCCTCTTCCATAAATAGTCTAAACACCGATCCTCCAGCTTTCACCAGATGTCATAACCTCACACATGACTTCATTTCCTCTCTGGTGTTGTACTTCCTGCACTCCAGTCAACTGTTTCTTCTCTTGACCTGGAGCACCTCAGCCATCATCTGTAAATTTAGAGCCTGACCAGGACAAAGCTGGTAGATCCTCGGACAAAGGTGGGAAATATAAAATCTTCGGAGGGTAAGTCCTTTTTGCAAAAGGGAAACATTTTTTCAAAAGCTGTTATCAAGGACATGTACACTGATTTTTACAATTTTTAACAACCACTTCAAAATTTAGATAAAATTTCACAGGGATAATGAAATGCAACTCTCTGCTAGACTTCAACAGTTTTGTATGCAAATATAAAGACAGACAAAAGAAAAGGTAACCTGATGATTTAATTCTTGTGAAAGGCAGGAAGACTTTCCCCTCCTCCAAAGGGGTTCTAAAAAGGAGCTGGTTAGTTTGAAGCAATTGAAAAATGTGGCTGAAGAACCTGTAGCTAAATCGATTCACCCGATGTAGATGTGACTGATATGAAATTCCTGAATAATAAATTTAAGCAAGCGCAAATACTATGTTCTGACTCAAAAGTAATGAACAATCTTATTAATGGGAAAACCTAAGTATTTTTCAATTCTTTTCCTTAATTATTAAAGCTTAATAATAAGCTCAATCATTAAATACTAAAAGAAGTAAATATAAATTCTTACCATAGCAAAAGTAACCACCATGTTCTGCACCCCAGTACCTCCTGTGAAGGAGGTGTACAATCCTCATTCCTGCTATCCCACTTCAAAAAGCTACACCTTTTAAAGTCAGCCTTCATCTGTTCAGATAACAGACAAGATTACTGACATCAAGAAAAATAAAGACAGGAAGTCTTTAAAAAAAAAACACACCTAAGAGATTACATTTTGAATTTACTGCTCTTTCAAGATCTACACACACCCCTGATAATTTTCAGAGTATCAGCTGGCGTCAGCCTAATGTTCACAATAGTCCTACACAAGACTTTCAATTCACAGGGCTTCAAATTATGTATCCAAGGAAAATTATTTCATATGATGAACCCTGTGCTGTACAGACATCAGATTGCAACTATAGTTACTTATGAGATGAAGTTTGTGTTTTCTGCACCATTATCATTTTCCTTTAGAAACCCAGACTCAAAGGGAAATGGAAAAAAGAGATTTTATATCCTATACCAAGCAAGATAATTAACACGAAACTCCCTGGAGGTTAAAAGTTGGCCAAGAAGAAAAGTTACTGCTGACTCAACCAAGAATGAAATAAGTAAAGAGAAACATGGCTGAGAAACATATTAACCCACGCATCCATTTCTGGTCTATCTTAGTGGCTCTCTCTCTAGAGATGTGGAAAGATATTTCACTGTGGAGAAATAAGACTACCAGCTTGTAGCCACTTGAAGATCATATCCCATCATCAGACGTTGGGTACACAGTTTTAAGAGTAAATAAATAAACACTAAACAAGCTTTCCCTCTTCAAAGATCAAAGTTCATACATAGTCAGTGGTACCACTTACTAATTCCGACACCTCACCAGTGGTAGATAATGTTCTTTATCTCAGAGGAAGGAGCCATTTGAACGCAAGAAGAAATGCAAGAGAATAAAGAGAGCACTGACAGTCGAGGCTAATGAGACACAGCCTACACGGAAAGTTGCTACTGACTTCACCAAAACAGACTGAGCTGTGCACGACCCTTCCAGCATCTCCACTACACTCTCCACATTTCCAGCTCTTCACCTCCAGACGGCGGAGACACCTAGCCCTGTCCGAGCCAAATCAGCGCCACCACTACAAACAAGCACACATCAGCCTCAACGCAAAAATAACAACCCATCAACCCTGGGGCTGAGAAACGAGGGATCTCCCCTTTAAAGAGGCTCTCCAGCGGCAGCACGGCGGGGACCCGCTCTCCCCGCACAGGAGGCTGCGGGGCGGCGTTGACAGGAAGGGACCCACGTGCCGGGCCAGGCCCGGCCCCCCGGCCCCGCCCCGACCGCGCTCCCGGCCCGGGCCTGGCGCGGGGCCTCCGCCGCGGGGGAAGGGAGGGAGGGGCCGCACCGCCCCTCGGCGGCCTATCCCGGCGCAGGGCCCGGCGCGGCGGCGCCGAACAAAGCGGGGGCGCCCGGCCCCGGCACCCCCGAGCCAGCGGCCCGCGCCGCTCCGCCTCCAGAGAGGCCCGAGCGCGGCCACGGCGGCGGCGATCGGCGGGAGCGCTTCCCCGCCGCGGGGAAGGCCGCGGAGGGAGAGCCATTGGGAAGGGGTTGGGGGAGGGGGGGGGCTGTTATCCCGGCCCGCGCGCGGCGCCATGGCCGTTACCTGGATGCGGCCCGCGCGGGGCCGGGCCGGGCCGTGCCGGAGGCGGATCCGCGGAGCGGCGGGAGCGGGGCGGCAGCGGGGCCCGAGCGCGCGCCGCGCTGCGCCGACGGAACAACCGCCCCGCCGAGCGACGGTTACGGCCGCGCGCACGGCCCCGCCCCCTCGCCCGCCCGCCAACCGCGCCCATTGGCCGGGACGCGCCGTTTGAATCGCGGGGTGGCCGCACGCCATTGGCCGCGCGCGCCATGGCGCGGTCCGGCCCCCCTCCCACCCTCCCCCCCGCGCCGCCTCGGGGCGCGCGCACGGCCCCGCCCCACCGTGAGGGTGGCGATGGGCGAGTTGAAACCTCTCCTCGCCCCCACCTTCCCCTCACGGCGACCGGGGGAGGATGGCGAGGAGGGAAGGTTGCTGTCGCTGTGGCCGTGGCGGTGAGGGCAGGCTCAAGCCGCCTGCGCCACGCAGGTCGCGCTGCGGGGTAGTAAACAAAACCCCCGTTTTGTTTATAGAGCACTCGCTGTCCAGCCGCCTCAAGAGCCGCCTCCGGCACCGCGAGTGCTCCTGCGCTGGCCGAACAGCTCCCTCCAGCATTCAACAACGCCAAAATGTAGTAAAAAGGCAGTAAACGTACTTCTCTCTCAAAAAAAAAAAAAAAAAAGGGGAGGGGGGGCAAAGCGGAGGCGGCGAGACCGCGAGTGTTCTTACACTGACCGAACAACAGGCTGTGCTCCCTCCAGCACTGCACTTCCAGCATTCAGTAAAGGCAGAATGCGGTAAAAATGCGGTATAAAGACACTGAAAACACCCCCTATCTCTCTCCAGAGAAGAAAAAGGGGAAAAAAAGCGGAGGCGGCTTTTGAGGCGGCGAGACCGCGAGTGCTCCCACACTGACAGAAGAACAGGCTGTGCTCCCTTGCACCTCCAGCACCCAACAAACCCAAAATGTGGTAAAAAGGCAGTAAAAACAGCCCCTCTCTCTCCGAAAGAGAAATAAAAAGCAGCAGCGTGTGTTTACCCTTGTCTTTTTGAGGCAACTTTTCCAGAAAGGCCATTCGAGTTCCTGACCAGATTTTGAAATCAGGAAGTCTAAGCAATATTTGAGATGAAAAATGGGTTGTGAAAAAGTTAACACATCGTCCTTAACAGTGAGGTTTATTGTTCAAATAAGTAGTTTCCAGTGTTGGGATCTTAAAAGTGATTAAGTGCTAATACAGCCGTGTTTGTGTTTGCATAATCTTTATGGACCTCCCAAATTGTCTCAATTTGGATGCGGGCTGACAAGTGATATTCTGTTCTAATAAAGCTTTCTAAATGAAGGAAAATTCCCTAAAGACAAGATCACCACTGTCCCATATAGAAAACTGCCAGGGCCACGCAGACTCACAAAAATCCCAGATAAAAAAACCCAAAACAACAACACAACAAAACCAACCAACCAACAACAGTTTGTTGTTGTTTGTTTGTTTGTTTGTTTTGGTGTTTAAGTTTGTAGCTATAATGTTTGAATGAAGAGTATGGCAAGCTTTTTTTTCCCTAAGTGATTGCAGGAAATGGGCATTCATGTGTGAATTATTTAAAAATATCTATTTTTTACTATTTATTCTGCCTATTTTGGCCTTGAAATTTTTAATTTTCACAAGGAAAATTTTTTAAATTTTATTTTGTATCTTTCCTATTTTTATACCAAAAAGGTCCAGTTGTATTTTCTCATACATTCATTTTATTTTTTACTACATGATGCAATAAGAGACATCTAAATGAGATTAAAAGTTACTCAGTCAAACAGGAATCACATGTAAACACAGATTTTAATAAATGCAGTCAGTTAAGGCAATCAGCTTTATCTAAGAGACATTTGATAATTTACTATGCAAAAGAATGCAAGTGAACCTTCATTTCTGGTTTCAGATAATGAATATTTTGGTTCCAGCTAAGATTTTTGCTATATTACTATTGTACAGTTTACAACTATAATGTTAAGAACTGTTTTCAGTAGTTGTCTAAATTACAGCAACTATTCCTTGGAATGAGCCTGCTTAATTTTGTTGGCAGAAGAAGCCTACAGTTAATATGCTTAAACATGAAGGTTTTCAGTTGAAATCTCATTTAGAGAATAAACTTGCCTTCAGAGAAATGGTTTTGGTTTGGAATTGCTTACTGAACCTGGATTAGAAACCTACTGGGCCATTAAGAACTGTTTATTGCAGTTCTGCCAGTGATAATTGGTATACACTTGAGAGATTATTTTGGAAATATCTGTGGGGCCATCACAGGACAACTAATAAATGGGACAAATATGAAATCCAGTCGGGACCATGACCATCAAAATGATATTACCTGTGCTCTGCTGCAAGTTAGGTTTCCAGTGTTTGAAATTTGCCAATATGTACATAAAGCATCTCAATCTCACAACACAAAACTGAGAAAATAATTCTCTAGGCTTTCATTTTAATGAGGATCACAGAATCATCAGGGTTGGACAAGGCCTTGAAGATCATCTAGTCCAACTATCACCCCAGCACCACAATAGTTGCCCCTAAATTGTATACCAAAATGCCACATCCAGAGATAGTTTCAGAGACAGTGACTCTTCTGGAGGAGAAAAACACATTTCCTTCTCTGATTCCTGTCTCCAAAATGCTCTTCAGATGGAGGCAGAGAAAGGGGCAGGGGTTTGGGAAGAAGCAATTTGAAAAGCAATGGAAAGTGAGTGTTAGCTGTGACAAGACTCAGGAGAATGGTGGAAAACAACACAATAACCAAAAACGGGATTATTTCACTCTTCTCCAGAAACGGCCAGGAAAAAATGCATCAAGTATAAACTACAGTTCTGAAGTCTCCTCAGGACACACACTTAGCAGTAAAAATTGCTTAGCTTAAGGGAAAATATAAATAGTTGGTAATGTAAAATTTTGACATGAATAATATTATCTGCACTCTGTAAAATCTGAATATATCCAAGGAGAATCTGGGTTTTTCTCTAGGACTGATGTCTCAAGTAGCTCTAAGTGACAGCTGGGGATAGTCCTACAGTTTATGCTTGCTTGTGTGGTGTTAAGCAGTCCTGGGAAGTTCAGTTGTGCTGTCTGGCCTGGGCAGAACAGGTTGACTCTACAGAGGAACTCTCTCCAAACAATGAACCCCTCTGGAGGTTCTGAATTTCTGCCTCTGGGAGCACTGAATTTAGTAGCTCAAGATATTAAGTTATTTTGAATGTAATAAAATATATTTATTTAATATCCCAAGATTTACAGTTCAGAATTGGTGACCATTTGAGTCCTCTGCATTGTTATTAACCAGCTGCTTATTAACAGTTGGTGCCTGTGCTATTACAAATTGCTGGCATTATTATGTGTACTGATATCTAAGGTAATTCATCTGGAGACTCATAACTGTATGCTTTCTCAACACCATATAAAACCAGATGTCACAGTAGTCCTCAGATAAGTCAAGTCTATGGAATTAAATTCAGGTTATAGCTAGTCTCTTTTTTTAGTTAATGATCTGTAGATACTTCCTAAAACATTAAATTTTACTCTAAATCCTTTTACCTTTATTTTGCATAGTTACATAATAATATTTGCATAATCAATATCTAGCTTGTATTTTTTGTCCTTTTTTTTTATTTTACCTGAAAATGTTTGTGCCTCACAAATAAAATCGTCTCAGAAGTGTTCTCATTCCAGTAGCGTTTAGAGACCAAATAATGAACTAAACTTCCACTGATTAGGCAAATAAAATTCTTACAGTCGTTTTCACACTGTTTCTGTCCATCTCTTATTTATTCTGATGTAATAAGGTGGAGATTTTTAATTTTTTAAAATATAAATATTAAAAGACAAGTCTGATACCAGTACCTATCTTTCATTGAATGTAACTCACTTTAAATTTACTAAATCAATATTCAGGACATACAACCTTAACACACTGCACAGTGCTGGCCATGAACTCCCCTAAATTTGTTTTGCTCTGGAACACTTACAACATTTCTGGTCAAAGTTAATCTTTTTCTGTCCCGCAGCCAGATCTCACAGCCCATGGCTGTCCAGGGAACTCCATGTGTCCCTACCATACCTGTGCTTAAGACAAGTATTGTTGTTACTTTGTTATTACACCATTTTTTAATAGGTTTTGTAAAAAGGTTGCAAAAACAAGTCCCATAAAGCTGCCAGCTCCAGAAGGTTGAGAAACATTGTGATAAATGGCTTTAGCAGGGGCTATGGAGGTGGGTGGGGTAATTCAGCTCCTGTTTCCTCTCCTGATTAGCCCTTTGCTTCTGTGGAAGAAAACACC